ATAACAAGGTGTAGAGCTGGATGAACACAGCAGGCCAAGCAGCATCAGAGGAGCAGGAAGGCTGACGTTTCGGGCCTAGACCCTTCATCCAACTCTATACCTTGGTATCTGAGATTCTCCAGCATCTGCAGTTCCTACTATCCCAGAGCCAGCTAGATATCAGTTTAAACTTGTCGCCTGATAGACAGCTCCTCTGATAATGCAGCACTCCCTCAACGTTATACTGTCAGCCTAGAGAAGCTGCCCAGTGCTGGAATAGGGTTTTTAAACCTACATCCATCTGAATCCAAGGCCAGAATGTTATTTATCACTCCATCACTAGAATAAGCTTAATTCAAAGCTCAAGTCAAACTCCTTTGTTGAAAAGCAAAACCCTGCACATTCTGAAAATCTGAAATGAGAAAAATCAAAAAAGAAGCTGGAAATAACTAACAGCTGAGGCAGCTTCTGTGGAAAGAAAGTTATGGTTCGAGTTCAATTATCAAGTTAAGCTTCCACTGGGGAAAAGTTATGTTTATACAAAGAAATGCACATTTGGAATTGCTTCTCCATTTAGCCTCGGCACATTCCCTGCAGGAGTTCCCCAGTGTAGTGTCCAAGACCCAACTATCTTCAGCTGCTTTATTGATGACTTACCCTCCAACATAAGGTCAGAAGTGGGAATGTTTGCTGATTCAGCACCGTTTGCATATCCTCAGAGACTGAAGCAGTCCATATCCAAATGCAGCAAGAGCTGGCCGATATCCAAATTTGTAAGTGGCAGGTAACATTCACGCAATACAACTGCAAGGCATTGAACCTCGAAAAAGCGAGCATTTAACCATCACCTCTTGACATTCAGAGTCATCACTATTGCTGAATCCCCCACTGTCAACATCTTGGGAGTTACCATTGACCAGAAACACAACTGGACTAGCTATATAAATACAGTGGCTACAAAAGCAGGTTACAGACCAGAAATCTCGTGGCGAGTGACTCATCCAAAGTCTTTCCACCATCTACAAGGCACAAGTCGGGAGAATGATAGAATACTCCCCACTTGCCTGGATGGGGCAGCTCCAACAACATTTGAAGCCTAACACCGTACAGGATAAAGCAGATCACTTGATTGACACTACATTCAACATTCACTCCCTTCATCATTAATGCACAGCTTCCTTCCCATTCTTATCAGACTTTTGAATGGATCCCTTTTTAATGTTAATACTGATCTCTCTCTGCACATCCTCAGCAGCTGTAACACTGTATCCTGCACTCTGTTCTGTTACTCTGATGCGCTTGTTTAGTATGATCTGCCTGTAAAGCACGTAAGACAACACTTTTCACTGTACCTCAGTATATATGACAGTAATAAATCAAATCAAATCATTGGCAGCAGTATGTACCATTGGCAAAGACAGTCTGACACCATTTTCAAATCCACGACCTCTACCATTTAGAAAGGGAAGGCCCACAGATACATAGCAGCACCACCTGCAAGGTTCCCTCTAAGTTGCACACCATCCTGATTTGGAACTATATTGCTGTTCCTTCGTTGCCACTGGTTCAAATTCCCTATCTAACAGATTTGTGAACATGCTGCACCCCTGGGTTTGCAGTGGTTCAAAGAGGCAGCTCACCACCACCTTCTCAGGTGAAATTATGGATGGGTAATAAATGTTGGCCCATCTTAAAAGAGAAAGGACGATTACTTTTTTTTACTTCACTTATGAGGATAGATGTTCACCTTGGTAAAAAGAAGGTTAGAGGAGAATTGATAGAAGATTTCAAAATCATCAGACTGGACAGAATAGTTAGGGTGAATCTGTTCCTGCTCATCAAAGGATAAAGAACAAAGGGACCTAGATTTAAGCTGATGTGCAAATGAAGCAAGGATGATGTGAGAAAAAACTTTTTCACACAGTGAGTAGCTCTGGTTATGGGGAATGCACTGCCTGGGAATGTAGTGGAGGCAGGTTCAATTGAGACACTCAAGAAGGGCTTTGGATAGCAAAGGTTTGCAGGGATATGGGGAAAAGGCAGGAAATTGGCACTAGGTAAAAGTACCATTGCAGACCTGATGGGCTGAATGGCTTCTTTCTGTGCTGCAACAATTCTGTGATTTTTCCAACAACATAGAATCTGCTAAGAGATACTTAACTGATGTGGGGGTGGGAGGGGGGAATTCAGCTGGGAGTGACAGCAAGAGATGAGCAGCTTTTTTGATTTGTGTAAGAATAAATTGTGTCCTTGTTGCAGCTCCCTCAAAAAAAAATTGCATTTTGTTATCCCTTTGCAGTCACACTGTGTGATCTTCCACAGTAAAGCTTAGGAAAAGTGTGGCAGCCCAGTGAGGGAGTGTAAAGTGATAGTGGGTGCCAGCATCATTAAACAGTGAGAACCACAGACACGATTTCCCATTTCCACTGCACTTAGGTTTGGGAGCAGACATGTTGGGTAGTGATGAACATGTCCACCCCCAACCACTGAAAGGACCTGACCCATTGCACACCAACCAGCTCATTAAGAACTGACAGGTACAGGTGTGGCGAATTATAGGCCCTTTAAAGGGGCGGCTCAGTAGAGTTGGTGTGGTAGCTCTTTGGTTTGCACTGCTCCCTCACGGTGCCGGGCACCCGGGTTCGATTCCAGCCTCAGGTGACTGTGCAAACTCCATACAGACATTCTCCTCGCGTCTGCGTGGGTTTCCTCCTGGTGCTCCAGTTTCCTCCCAGAGTCTAAAGGTGAGCAGGTTAGGTGAATCGGCCATGCTAAATTGCCTGTAGTGTCCTAGGATGTGCAGGCTAGGTGGATTAGCCACGGGAAATGCAGAGTTACAGGGATAGGGTAGGGGGTGGGTCTGGATGGATTAAGGGCCTGAACTTGCCAACTCTCTGGTGTCTAGTTTCCCACCTGGGTGACCTGTGTGCCACATTGGGAAGCGGGGGGATGCCTGTAACTGCCCCAATCTGGGAGCAATCTGAAGCAAGGATGGGAAGAAAGGGGGTGACCTCTAAATAGCACCTCCGTATGTTGCCTTCAACCTCCCTCTCCCCTCCTGAACCCCACCATGCGATTTTAAATAAAAGCAATTTAGCTTCTTACTGCTGGATCCAGGGGGTAGGTCTCAATCAAGGGCCTTTAAGACCCAGAAGTTTTTAGCTTTTGCTTGATCGGCAGCATCTGGTGACCCAGGATGCCAGGGTAGAATGATAGAATTCCTACAGTGTGGAAGCAGGCAATTTGGCCCATCGAACCCACACTGACCCTCCAAAGAGTATTCCATCCAGACCCACCCCACAGACCTTCTCAGAACTTAATTGGTTAAAGTGGTGAAGTGAGGCGATGAGTGTCTCTCTGGACTATCTCACCCAATTAATTTATCTTCCTGCCACCTCCAAGAGGGGAAAATTCTGCAGTGAAACCTGGAAACTCTCAAAGCGAAAACCACCCAAACAGCAAATTCTCCGCTGCACTCTGGATCAGACTGCCAACAATCCTGCCTATTAATATTTATTTTCAGAGCTTTTCTTTGTAGCTGTTCCCAGGCCCCTCCCAATTGGCGGCTGCCGGAGCCCCTTGAGTGAAATGCCTCAATTGTAAAGTACCTCGCATCTCATTGAGAGGGTTCAGGCCCTGTGTACTGCTTTGGTTTACATTCCAGTTCCCGATGTCATTATAGAACCACCACTACAGTGTTATTATCTGCAATGAGACATCACATTTAAAATTCTGTGTAAAATATATAGTTCTAACAGAACGTTCAATATAATAGTCAGTGCTCTCTGGGGAAGAGAACTCCAGACTAATGACTCTCTCTGAGAGAAACAGTTCTTCCACATCTCCATCTGAAATTGGAAACCCTTTTTAATAAGGTAAATTTATTGATTTGAATTATTGTTGTCACATGTACCTAGATACAGTGAAAAGTTTTGTTTTGCGTGCAGTACAGACAGATCATAATGTAAAAGGATCGTACGCTGATTGAACAGAGCAAGGAATACAAAGTTACGGCTGCAAAGAAGGTGCACAAAAAGTGACCTAAATATTAATGTTCAAATTGGACCCGAGTATGTCTCAGAGAGTTGAGTGTCTTTGGAACTTCTTACCACAAAGTTGTGGGGGCAGAGTCCTTGTGTACATTTATGGCTGAAATAGATTCTTGATCAAGCAAAGGTTACAGGGAAAAGGCAGGAAGTTGGACATGATGATCCTATTGAACAGCCTACTTCTGTTCCAATTTCTGATGGTCTTGTGGTTTTTATTTTGTCGTTTTACAGACATTCTGCTGGATGATTTTCTCCTCACCCACTCTGTCTTCATGCCAACAGACAAGCTGCTGCAAGTTTTACACAAACAATATCCTTCCTTTGAAAAACATTGCATCACTCTCATTATTAAATCAAAAAGGAAACTACGTCTGTTTGATGAAACCTGTAATATTCCCATCATCAGCTACTGAGTAAAAAGCCTTTTATGCTTAAACAAATATACACCCACATTAATGATCATCCCAGCCTTATTATTTATTTTAGTTAAAGACCTCCCACAGCATTTGAATGAGACCCTGTCATTTATTTTCTGTATTTCACTTGAGAAAGTGTATGTCATGGGTTGCATTTTTCATTTGAGCCCGGGGGTAGGGAATGAATTTTGAGCTCTAATCAGTCACGCCCTGGCTCCCCCAGAATGCACTGGATGCAAAGCCATATGCTTCAAAAGCAGACGTTATGGGAAATAATGGCAGGGAAAGAAGAGACAGGGAAATAATTAAGTAAATGTACCCTCAGGATCGATTTCTTTGAGCCTTCGGCTGGCGTCTATAAACGTCATCTCATCATGATGGCAAACCAATGCAAATGCCAATTTCCTGACTGCGAGCATTCCCTGCCATGTCTCCACACGTCCCTGACATTGAATCGATTCTGAATCTGAGTAGCAACATCTCACATGTGAGCCTTTTATAGTGAGGTTGTTGACACCCCTTTAGGATGGCCTTTAAAACTTACCTCTTTAATAATGGCTCTGCTTTAATGATGTAGTATCTAATATGGCTACGATAATATATCTAGTAAGGCTCAGTGCCATAATATATCTTATAATGCTCCTGTAAAGTATCTTGGGGCATATTGTTATGTTAAAGGCACTACACCAGCATACGTTATTGTTGTGAGAGGAAGCCAAAACACAAAAAGTCCTTATCTGGTGTCAGTCAGGATGGGCTGCTTGGAAACCAGCTTGGAGAAGAATTCTTGTCTTCTGCTTCACCATCTGACTGGTGCTAGGTACAAAAATACAGCACTTTAGCCAGCTTCATTATTGAGGCACACCAATTCAGCACCATCCAGGATCAAACCTAAGCCCCTCCTGCCTGAGTTCCTATTAAGGCAATGTAGTTCCCAACCAATTGTGTCTGCCATTAGCCTGAGCAACACCTAATCATCCATGACTTCCATATATGAGATGGAGCTAGAGGAATGTAAAATCTAGCATAGCATTGTTATATAATCTTAGCCTTAATTCTAATGATCCTCCTCGTAATAACTGCCTTAAATCTCAGCCTCGTCCTACACTAGCAATGTTGGTGTGGCTGCCGGCTACACATTCCACAAATAACAACCTGTTGTTGCAGGATAAGCTTCTACGGAGCACCTGACAGTGGCACCCAAGAGTGAAGCACAGTCCCTTAAGGAGTTGCATTCAGTTTCAATCTCTGCAGCAATAAGACCTCCTCTATCTGATCACGCAGTTCCTTCCAATGCACTGTGAGCTTTCCTGAGGCACACCGAATGAATGCATCATCTGGTGGGGATTTGAGGGATTCGGAATAGAAACCATCCCAAGCTGCACTGAATGTGCTGAAATCTGTCAAATCACCTGGCACAGCACTGAACGCAAACTTAGACTGGGGCCAAGGGATAATGTCAGCTGAAACTAACACTCCCCGCCACCATCTGGTGATCTGTGTTGAAAGCTGTATGAACGTGCTTGCGTGTGTCCATATTACTATGTTGTATGAGGATGAACTTGGGCTCAGACCTCTGTTGTATGGACAGAGTAACCTGCATCCTGTGGGCTCCCCACACTCATGGAGGAGAACACAACAAGTGTTAGTAGCCCAGGGTGGAGGGAGGCAGGGCCGGTGGGCGAAGAGGGATGCAGGGCCAGCGGGGGAAAGGGAGGCAGGGTCAGAAGGAGGGGAAGATGGGCCGTGGGGAGGCAGAGTCAGGGTTGTGGGAGGCCAGCTAGGAGGACGTGACTTTCCAGAGACCAAATTAGAAACGGTGCTAACCGAGCACTTGGAGGAATTTGGAGTCTTGATTGGTATAAAGCCAGGTTTGACCAGCTAAAGCCAGTAGCTGGTCCAGTGCTAAAAAGATCTCAGTACATAAAACTATCTGCAGATACACATGAATTAGGAGGCATTCATTCCCTCAGGTCTGCTACATCATGCAATAAGAACATCACTGATTTGATTGAGGCCTCGTTCGGACCTATCCCCATTAAATTAAAGAATGAAACTGACTTCTTGGACATCGGTGATGTGAGGTTAGGGTTCACCCAGCATTCAAACCCAACCTTCTCACATCTTCATTTACGGAATTCCCCAAAGCGGGAAACACGCCCCTAGACCATCACTATCGTAGTCATATCACATGATGAGCACTAGGTAAAATGGTAAAAGTTGGGGTAACATTAGGTCCCCTCATTGTTCCTTCAACAGCCACTTGCTTTTCTATATCTTTAATGTAGTTGAACATTAGCTGGTTTCACAATTTCCAAATGGCCCTTTCTTCACTCACCAAGCCTTTTAAAGCTTGAGAGCTGTTTTCCTTAACAATGTGCTACGTACTGCATGAGTGCTTCCGAAAGAGCTGAAAGCTGGAATGAAGCTTACCCTCAGTTAAAGAAACAGAAGGTTTTGAGAATCACGGTCGAATGGGCAGAGAAGTGCAAGGATCTTCTGCTGGAAGATGAAATTGCAGTAAGGTTGCTGAAGGTAGGGTATGGGCCTTGGCTCTTTTGTTTTGTTGTTTTTATATTTCCTGACTGAAATCCTATTAACCTTATTGTGAAAAATATGCCTTTATAAAATGAAAATATACCAATGATTCAGGATATTTGAAATAAGCACAATTGTTTGAAACCAAGTTTGTTGCATATACCTGAATTCTGTATGTGCTATGCTGTGATCGATTTATTCATAGAATTGTGAACACTCCCTAATTTTCCAGCCTGACAGTGGTGCTGCTTCAAACTGACATGCTGCTTTAAAGTCTGGAGTCATAGATGAGCATGATAAGGTTTTCTGTGAAATTATGGCCAAACTCATTTGTGTGTCAGCTGTGGCTTACTTGGTAGCACGTTCATTGAAAAACTCTGGTTCAAGTCGCACTCCAGAGCTTGAGCACAAGGTGCTATCTTTCTATTGCAAATGAAGAAGACCAGACGAATTATCCCCAGTGTCCTGGTCAATGATCATGCCTTAGTCATCACCACAACAAAACTGAAAGAGATACAGAGAAGTGAAGAGTGCACTCAGTAGGCTTGAGTGCATACCTTTGCCATGCTGTGTGTTCACTCATTGTTATTACCAATACACAGCCCTGCCCTGAGGCTTTTCCCTGTCTGCTTGATGTTGTGGAATTGTTTCATTAAGAGCTTCCATCTCACTGTGAGGAGACTTCAGGCCAATCCATATACAACAACCTGCTCTGAAAACTCTGCTCATGTTCTGCTGTTTTTCGACGTCAAATTCCATTACAGCAGCACTGTCTGGCAAAATTCCTGTGTTGCCTATTTGCTTACTGTTGAAAAATAGGTTTTCCAATTTCTGCAAGTTGCATATCTGTCAGAAGCCTGGTTCACAGCATTTTAAAAAAGAGACAATCCACAACATTATAAGAAAACAAAAATCATTAATGTTCCAAATGAAGTAACCCACAACATTCTTAATGAAAAGATCAAATCACCTTGTCTTCCAATGTTAACATATTCTTTTAAAAATTCCAGGATACAGATCCACATCTTTGCCGCAAACTAATTAGGTTCTTCTTTGAGACATACGTTATCATTAAAATCTGTCATCAAGTCATAGAGTTGTAGGGCATGGAAACAGACCTTTTGGTCTAACTTGTCCATCCCAACCAGACATCCTGAATTAATCTAGTCCCATTGCCCCAAATCCCTCTAAACCCTTCCTATTCATTTACCCACCAGATGTCTTTTAAACGTTGTAATTGTACCAGCCTCCACCACTTCCTCTGGCAGCTTGTTCCATACACACACCATTCTCTGTGTGAAAATGTCGCCCCTTAGGTCCTTTTTAAATCTTTCCCCTCGCATCTTAAACATATACCCTATAGTTTTGGACTCCCCTACCCTGGGGAAGAAACCTCGACCATTCACCCTAACCACGCCCCATATGATTTTATAAACTTCTGTAAGGTCACCCTCAGCCTCCGACGTTCCAGGGAAAATACCCCCAGCCTATTCAGCCTCTCCCTTTTGCTCAAACCCTCCAACCCTGCCAACATCCTTGTAAATCATTCCTGAACCCTTTCAAGTTTCACTACATCCTTTGTATAGAAAGGGAGACCAAAATTGCACGCAGTATTCAAAAAGTGGCCGAACCAATACCCTGTACAGCCGCACCATGACCTCCCAACTCCTATACTCAATTCACTGACCAATAAAGGCAAGCGTACCAAACGCTGCCTTCACTACCCTGTTGACCTGCAACTCCACTTTCAAGGAACTGTGAACCTGAACTCCAAGGTCTTCTTTGTTCAGCAACACCAGGACCTTGCCATTATAAGTTCTGCCCTGATTTTCCCGAACCAAAATTTAGCACGTCTCATTTATCTGGATTAAACTCCATCTGCGACGACTCGGCCCATCTGATCAAGATCCTGCTTTACTCTGAGGTAACGTTCGTGGCTGGCCCCTACACCACCGATTCTGGTGTCATCTGCAAACTTACTAACCATACCTCCTATGTTCACATCCAAATCATTTATATAAATGACTAAAAGCGGTGGAGCCAGCATTGATCCCTGCAGCACATTGCTGGTCACAGGCCTGCAGTCCAAAAAGCAATCTTCTACCATCACCCTCTGTCTCCTACCTTCGAGCCAGTTTTGTATCCAAATGGCTAGTTCTCCCTGTATTCCATGTGATCTCACCTTGTTAACCAGTCTACCGTGAGGAATCTTGTCAAACGCCTTACTGAAGTCCATACAGATCATGTCCACCACTCTGCCCTCATTAATCCTTTTCGTCACTTCAAAAAAAAAGCTCAATTAATTTAGTGAGACATGATTTCCCACACACAAAGCCATGTTGACTATCCTTAATCAGTCCTTGTCTTTCCAAATACATGTAAATCCTGTCCCTCAGAATCCCCTCCGACAACTTGCCCACCACAGATGTCAGGCTCACCGGCCTATAGTTCCCTGGCGTCACTTCCAGCCACTAGTAGCAAAGGTAAAAGGTATCAAGGGTATGGAGAGAAAGCAGGGCTGTGGCATTGAGATTGAGGATCAGCTGGGATCATTATTGAATGGTAGAGCAGGTTTGAAAGGCCGAAGTCTCTACTCCTGTTCCTAGTATTTCTGTGCTGGAAGTGCTCAGCAGTTTGAGAGAAACAGAGCCAATGTATTAGTGCTAATGAAAGGTCACAACCTATCAGGAAACAGACTTGAATCACCTAACTCTGTTTCTGTCTGCACAGATGCTGTCAAACCTGCTGAGTATTTCCAGCATTTTCTGATTTTTTTTCAGATTTCCAGCATCTATAGTATTTTGCTCTCTCTCTAGAAAGCTGATTTATTTGCTCATTTATCACCATGCTTTTTATGGGAGCTTGCTGACTGCAAATTAGTTTTCACATCACCCACACAACAACAGCAAATGCACATCTCTTCCAAAGTACTTTATTGGCTGTAAGAATCTTTGAGGCATCTGGTGGTTGTGAAGAGTGCTACATAAATGCAAGTCTTTCTGTTTGAATGTTGTGAATCAGGCTTGTTACAGATATGAGACTTGCAGAAATTGGAAAGCTTACTTCTCAGCCATAAGCAAATAGACAGCAGGGACATTTTGCCAGACAGTGTGGCCAAAGTGGTTTGTATTTATCTAATGTCCCTGCACTCCAAGAACAAGACATACATCAGAGGGGTAAGGTTGAGGCAGGAGAGAGATCTATGTTGAACAGGAGATAAGGAAGACTAGGGTGCAATGCAGAAAATGCTAAGACAGTGTAGGTTCTTACAAAAGCTTAAGAGAAAGCACTTTGAGAGACAGCAAGGCTTTACATGTATGTGAGGGTTCAGTGACTGATAGTTAGACACATTGTGGAGAGAGCATGTAATCAGGAGGAGCCGAGAGCTGAAGGACTGTACAGCTAGTGAAGGTCAGAGTGATAAGATGGTTATAATCCTGGAGGAAATTTAGAACCAAGGATGGGACTTTGACTGACAGCAACAATAGGCATTGCAGTAATTGGAGGATAGAAATTGGAACGATTCTTGTACATTGCAAGCGAGATTATAGAACCCTGCAAACAGAAAACAACTTACCTTTATCTCACATAGGTGGTAACAACACATTCCGAAGAGTTTTACAATGAAGGAAGTACTTTGAATTGTTGTCACCATTGTAAGAAACATAACAACAATTTGCTCACAGCAAGCTCCAACAAACAGCAATGCAATAATGACCAGTTAGCGTCTTTTGTGCGTGATTTTGACTGAGAGTTAGATATTGGCCAAGATACCAGAAAGAATTCCCCAGCTACTCTTCAAACCAGTGCCACGAGATCTCTTGCAAACATTTGGAGAAGGTCTCACGACATCAGGTTATAGTCCAACAGGTTTATTTGAAATCACAAGCTTTCGGAGCAGGGATCCTTTGTCAGATAAAGTCACTTCATCTGACGAAGGAGCGGCGCTCTGAAAGCTTGTGATTTTAAGTAAAGCTGTTGGACTATAACCTGGTGGTGTGTGACTTCTGACCATGCCCACCTCAGTCCAACACCAGCACTTCCACGTCAAAACATTTGGGGTGCAGACAGAATCTCATTTCATCAAGGTCCATAAAACCTATCATCTCTGACAGTGCAGCTTTTCTTCATTACTATACACCAGAGGGTCAGCCTGTGACTTTTACTCTCCAAGGGGACTTGAACCTTCAACCTTTGAATTCAGAGACAAGAATTTTACCAACAGAGCCATGACTAATATGGATTGCAATGATATTATGAGATGATTCAAACCCAAGTTGTTAAACTGACATTCCGCAGAATGTTGCTGTCTGCAGCTTCAGAGCTCTCAAAGCACTCACAAAGCCACAGGGAGCCTCAAAAATTGCCTCTTGACATAAATGTACAAGGCCTGATGCTATCATAATTGTCTTTGGAAACTGATAGCCAATTTATGTTGTGCAAACCTGCCTCAGATGGAGGCTGCTTGCTACATGTTGTTTCCCGGTTTCTGAGTAAACCATGGCACATGCAGGGTTATTGGGAAATCAGGAAGATGAATTTGGTTTTGTGGCCGCTCCCCCAGTGACGCAGATTTGGGGAGGCTTACACGAGTGAGCACTTTTAATCACGCACCCAGGGTTGGCTGAGAGCTCAGCCCGACAGAATAAGCAGCTGTCTCTTTCAGCAATAGCTGTCAGAGCTCTCAATTGCTGCGGAGAGGACAGAGAAAACAGCTGGATCATCCATTCTCCCTGTCTTTCACCGTCCCTGCTACTCCCAACACTCTCCATCCCCTATCTAGCCAAGTAGGTCATTCCAGATATTGAGATAACACAGTGTAGAGCTGGAGGAACACAGCTGGCCAGGCAGCATCAGAGGAGCAGGAAAGCTGATGTTTCAGGTCTGGACCCTTCTTCAGAAATTCCAGATATTGGTTGTCTTTGAATACAGTTTCTGTTTTTAAGATCTGTATTAAATTTATTTGTCAGTGGCTCTAAGCAGTGAGTTTACTCTTGGCTCCTGCAGCCCAGGAGGCAGCAAGGCAGAAATAGCCTGAATAGCTCTGTTTTGTACTGTAAACATCATAAGATTGTGCACTTTTTTGTTCTACTACCCTGAACGCAAACTAAAATTCTAGTTTTGCCTTACTTGTTCTGTTGAATTGGGGGTGGCACGGTGACTCAGTGGTTAGCACTGCTGCCTCATGGCGCCAGGGACCTGGGTTCAATTCCATCCACAGGTGACTGTCTGTGTGAGATTTGCATATTCTGCCTGTATCTACATGGGTTTCCTCTGGACGCTCTGGTTTCCTCCCACAGCCCTCGTTAGGTGGATTGGCCATGATAAATTGCCCATAGTGTCCAGGGGTGTGCAGGCTAGGTGGGAAATACAGAGTTAAGTGGATGGGGTGGATCTGGGTGGGATGCTCTTCAGAGGATCAGTGTGGACTCGATGGGCTGAATGGCCGGCTTCCACACTGTGTAGGGATTCTATGACAACCCTACATCACTGACTTTTGTTGGTGATAGTACTTAAAGGAATGGCCACAACTTATTTCCACACTGGCAAATGTGCACATATTACTGTTTGCTAGGGAAGTTATTGCTGTAGTTCAGCAGCTTTGCTAAGTTAGCAGTTTAAAAATACGTACTTCTGTTTATGTCTAACAGGACCTGAATGCTATCGCCAGAAAGGACCTGCACGTCTATCCTAATCTGAAAGAAGAGCTGACAAGGCTCAAGCACATTGTGGATACCGTGGAATACAGGTCAGGAAAGAGGCTATGTGTAAATGCAAGCTGTATTCAACATGGCATTGGAGAACCATACCAGTCAGAAATTCAGAGCTGTGACAGATAGATATCAGATAGAACTTAAATTAAGGACGAGTGCTTAATTAGACTTCAAGTTTAATTCCTGGGCTATGCTAAATTGGCTGACCCTTGGCCTGTGCTCTTTTAGGGGAGACTAAAGAGCTGAGAACTCATAGATGAAGGAGGGAAAGGGCCTGCAGAGCAACTTATTCATGAGATATGGGCATCGCTGGCTGGGCCAACATTTGTTGCCCCATCTTCGACGCCTTTGAGAAGGTGTTGATGGCCTGCCTTCTTGAACTGTTAACAGAACTATTTGGTTTAGGCTGTTGGAAAGGAGTTGCAGGATTTTGACCCGGTGACACCGAAAGAATGGTGATGTGTTTTCAAGTCAGGATGGTTGGAGGGGAAACTGCAGGGAGTGATGCTTCCATTTATTTGCTTCCTTTGTCCTTCCAGATGGTAGTGGTCGTTGGCTTGGAAAATATTGTCAAAGGATTGGTCTATTGCTCACTCATGCAAAGAATGCATGATGAAAATAAAATCTGGCTTGGTTGTGATGACCTACATATCATAATATGCTGAAGTATTCACCATCTGGGCTCACGCAGAAAGAGTTGATGATTTGTCAGAAACCTTTTGTTGATACTTTTACCTCCAGACTCTCCCTTTGTTTAAAACCAAACACAAAATCCCAAATAACAAGGTGTAGAGCTGGATGAACACAGCAGGCCAAGCAGCATCAGAGGAGCAGGAAAGCTGACGTTTCGGGTCTAGACCCTTCTTCAGAAAATCCCAAACTCCTTTGTTGAGAATTAAGCTCATGTTCTCTGGATTGGGTTATGGGAAAAAGTACTGCATACTGTGACATTTTCTGTGGGCTTTTGAAATTTCCTTTGCACACTTCTGTTTTGGTGAGAAGGAAAAAATATTGGGGAGGGGCAAGATTATTCTGCTTGGCTGAGAATCAAGAGCCGTCTAACTTGTTTAAGAAAGAGGAAGCGTCACTGGACCCGAAACGTTAACTCTGTTTTTTCCTTCACAGATGCTGCCAGACCTGCTGAGCTTTTCCAGCAACTTTGTTTTTGTTCCTGATTTACAGCATCGCAGTTTTTTCAGGTTTTAAGGAAGAGGCTTGTTTGATTTCTATAGCCAGGGGATGTGCCATACAGACAAACATGTCCAGTGGCAATATGACAGTGGGGGCTAGAAACAGGAGGTTCAAGCAGAGGTCATAACCTCATTGACACATTCCCAGAGACTCCATCCTACATTCCAAGGGAAAGAGACTATGGTTCAGTGAAGCTCAGTAAACTGTGCGAGTGTTGCAGCAGATGTTTTTATTGATATTCTTTTCCAGTTGAATAAATTAACTGCACAGCCACAGGAGATCAATATCCTAGCTTGTTTAAGTGATGTTTTATAACACATTTTTAGTGTCAGTAAAGTTTCTGACTATGCCTGTGAAGCAAATAAACCATCCTCTAGCATCTATGGAGTTACTCTGAAATATTCATTTAAATAATAAAGCATGTTAACACTCTCTTAGTTGTTAACAACACTCTGTGGGTGTTCACCTAAATACTCCTGTGTATCCTGCGTTGGAATGCTGACTCACAGTGTGACACAGGCTCCAGTATTAACATTATTTATTTACATCACATGCAGGTCACCTGAAGAATGCAGCCACTTGAGAAAGAAACAGGTAAAAAAAAGCCTCCCCTCATTTATATTCTGGATAGGCTTTTCAACAATTAAGGATTAATATTGCTGGAAACAGTGGCACGTTGCCAAAGCTCTTTGTCTTGCATTCATCAGGCAAAGGTGAAGAATGTATACATTTCAAACCATTTACAGAGTGGTCCTGATTGCATTGTCATATTGACTCTGATGAGCTAAGGTATTGCCATTCATAGACTGGAACTCTTCCTCTGAAAACAAAAGGAATGTGTTCTGGCCTTGTGCCTTTATTGCATTAACCAGGAGATTGAAAAGCTGATATATTTCTCCATTGCTTTCTCCAGGGTTATGCTCAGCCTTCAGAGTTGAGAAGGGAAGAAATGGAGAGACTGATCTCCTTGAAGGTGGATAAATCACCAGGGCCAGATAAATTGTATGCCAGGCTCTTAATGGGAGCCCAGCAGGAAATGCAGATGCTTTGAGGATCATTTTCCAATCCTAACTAGATGCAGGCTAGGTCCAGGAGGATTGGAGGACTGCCCAAGTTGCATCACTATTCAGAAAGGGTGAGATGGATAAGTGAAATAATTATAGGCTGATCAGTCTGACCTCGGTAGTGCGGAAATTACAAGAAATAATATCCAGAGAGAGAGAGAGAGAGAGGATTAACTTTTTATTGGGAAACCTATGTCCCCGAGCGGAAAGGTTACCAAGCGGCACAGACTTCAGTTCAAAGGATGAACTTTCATTTTTATCCTGAGGGTGGTGGGTGCCAGTCTGGTGATTCAGGTAGAAACCCTCAGTTTCTTCAACCAGTACAAGCAGGATGGGCTGAATGACCTTTTTCTGTGCTGTACCATTCCAATAGTTCTATGGACCAATCAGCACCCTTTTCACCAGGGGTGTAAATCATGTTTGTTTGTTTGAAATTTGGTGTTCTGGTGTTTGTCTTGCAAAGTGAAAGATGAAAATCTTGGACAATATATCGGCGTTTTCAATAATAATCTCATTCTGTACTATCAAGCGCTGATAAAGTATGAACTAATGGGTGGATTGGTTGTAAAGGGAACTGAATAGTACACTGGAATACCCCATGGATTTTATGTTGCAATCAAACTGGAGTGACTGGATGAGAGTGAACCCAATGGGCTTGTAGACAAAAGTATGATGCAAATCGACACTAAATTTGGCAAACTGATTCAAGTAACCCATGAGAACAGCTAGCCTGGCTGTCTGGGAGCTTCTCAGAGTTTGAACTGATATTCTGGACCTGACCCCTACCTGAGCAGAGAGTGTCCAAAACGAAAAGGGTTTCGCTTGCCAACACTGATGACGCCCCCATCCACACCCACACCACCATTCCAACATTTTTCTGTTGGTCCACTATAAAACAAATTCAGTTTATTTTGATGTGACAGAATCTAAACAGATTTATTGAATTGGTTAGAAGCTTCTGATCAACATTGGCATCAAAATTGAACCCAATTATGAGGCTAAAAAGCAAAGAGATTATTAGAAGTAGAAGGTATATAAAAAAGATAATTATTTAAACAAATTAGAATTTAACCATCTAATTGCTAATAAGAATCCAGGATCAGAAGAATTACACTTTACTAGCCTTTGTGTACCCTAATTCACTGTTTAGCTGGTCCTTTCTGACACTCCCCTTAGACTCAAAGAACATGAGTACTATGCCTATTTTCATGATATCTTCTCTCCATTAAATCTTAAACATTTGAGTGAATAGTTACGAATTTTGATACTATTAAGTGTAAGAGACCCAAAACAAAGTTGAGGAGACACTTTTTTTTAAACACAGTGGGCGTGGGGCCAGACAGTGTATTGCTGGAGCTAGTGATTGAAGCAGAGACTATGTCAATATTTAAGAAGAGGTTAGAGAAGTGTTTGAAGGAAGGAGGAACGAAGACAGATGTTTTATCTGGGATTAGAGGCACTGCCAGTGTGGAGAAAGAACATCAACATGAACTGTTAGGGATTAACAGTCTCTTTCCATGCAATAAATTCTTTGTCATTCTTTGATACCCAAAGAACTAATTTGATTTTGTGCATTTAGTGGGTCAGAAACCGAGCTATTCCATGAGACTTGTAATAAGTCAAGGAAACTTACATTTAAGTAATTTGCATCATCATTAGGATGTCAAAAGTATGCTTCACAGTTGTGAAGGTACTTTGATGTGTAATCACCATCATTTTGTCAAAAAAGGCAGGCACTTTATGCACAGCTAGATTCCACTCAAAGGAATGAGTAGTCAAGCAATTTTGGTAAGATTTAGCTGAGTGATAGATTAAGGACAATATAGGTACAAAATTAAAATTAACAGAAAGAGCAAAAGAAATTTTCCATGTATAAAAGGTGAAACTGTGGAACTTTAGTTTTTGCCTCAACTACAAATTCTGACATTTATGTCAACATTCAAAATTTGACTCAGTAGATGGCTGAAAGAAGATGCGACAAAGAAATATAGGAACAGAGCAGCATTATCAACATTGTTTCGTGAAGTAGATAATCCTAAACATGGACTGGTTGCGATGAGTGGCCTGTTACCATGTGGTGACTTCAATTTGTTTGCGATCTTGTGGCACATTGTCCATCCCTAATTTCCCAGAGGGCAGTTACAAGTCAACAACATTGTTGTTGGTCTGGAATCACATGTAGGCCAGACCAGGTAAGGATGGTAGTTTCCCTTCCTAAAGGACATTACTGAATCAGATGGGTTTTTTTCTATAATCGGCAATGGGATCATGGCCACCTTTAGACTCTTAACCCCAGGTTTTTATTGAATTTGAATCCGTGTTCCCGGAACATTATCTGAGTCACTGGATTAACAGTTCAGCGATAATACTGCTAGGCCATCGCCTCTTCTGAGAGGTTAATTGTCACCCTGTTAATCCTTCCAGTACACATGTTGGAGAGTGGGACAGGAGAAAAGTCAGACAGACACTAGGAGCTCTTTCCTATTCTTGTTCAGCTAATGCTATGGAATCGTTCACCCCCCAACTCAGACAAAGAGATGATCTTCCTTTAAGGTCTCCCTGGAAAGGTGACACATCAGACAATGCAGCACTTTCTCACTGTGCTGAAGCATTATCCTAGCTGATGCTTTTGACCTGAATACCACCCGAACCTGCTCCACAGAGGGGAGACTGTATAGTGAGCAATGAGTGCAGCAGACAAAGCCAGGTCCCCAGGTAGGATTTGAAGAGGAAGCAAAAGTAGTAGCACATTATGTGGCCTGTTGATTGACTTTTTCTCTGATGCAAGGATCTGGATTACGCTTTAAAATAAATGCATTCTGTACTGGGCAATTCCAGCAGCACGGTGGCTCAGTGGTTAGTACTGCTGCCTCACGGCCCCAGGGACCTGGGTTCGATTCCAGCCTCGGCCGACTGTCTGTGTGGAGTTTGCACGTTCTCCCCGTGTCTGTGTGGGTTTCCTCTGGGTGCTCTGGTTTCCTACCACAGTCCAAAGCTGTGCAGGTTAGGTGGATTGGTCATAATAAATTGCCCGTAGTGTTCAGGGTTGTGTAGATTATGTGGGTTATAGGGGGGTGGATCTGGATGGGATGCTCTGAGGGTCTGTGTGGACTTGTTGGGCTGAAGGGCCTATTTCCACACTGTAGAGATTCTTTGATACTGAAGGAAAGCAATACAATTTGCTCTTGGAATGTGAATGGGACCAAACCAGCGACAGAGAAAGAAAGCTTGATTTGCCAAGAAGTCCTTCTGGTTAGAATAACCATGGTCTACAAAGAAACTATTCCTGATAAGATGTTCAATGATATGTGAATCCTAATGGATAGAAATTCTGCTCCCTGATATTTAGGAGTTGGAGAAATATTTGCTCTCTAACATTCTCTGTCTCTGACAGGTTAAACCTCTGTTTCGTCACTTCAGTCGTACTGACATCTGCTTGCAGCAGCGGGAGCCCCTGCGTGGTACAGATGAGAGTAAGTTTCAGTAGCTTCCCATTGTTACTGTACGAGGAGCTATGTTGAACTGAACCAGGCAAAGTCCCGCACTAAAGTGAACTAAACCCATGTTAGACAGGTAAAATGCTTCCATTACAACTGAAGCAACCCATATTACAGTGATAGAACCCCTCTGAGGGACTTGAGACACACCCAGTGTTGAACTGGCTTGTGCTGATCTGTGACAGACGAGGAGTGATTCACTTGCTGAGTCAGGATTGTAGTTGCTGGAACTCTGATGTGTTCACATTCAAAGGCAGTTGATGATTCAACATCAGGGAGTTATGAGTCTGACTTTATAGTATTCCAAATATGTGACTCCATTCAGTCAAAAGCAAAGGAGTAATATTTATCCAAAAAACTGACAATGCAATTCTAGATGTACAAAGCTGTTTTGAGAAATGGAATTAGTTGTGTATTAATCAAATTCTGCATGCGGTGGGATTTACTTGAGCCCATGTATGTAGGAGCAGATGGTATGATGGTAGTGTTCCCTACCTTTGAGCCAGCATATCTGCGTTCAAGTCCCATCTGCATCAGAATTTGTAATAATATCTCTGAACAGGTTGGTTAAAAGTATCTACGTAGGAGCAGACTGGAATTGTGATTGTTGGACTTCAGCTGCATAAAATGTGATGTGTCTCAGTACATTTGTGCTTTCAAGTGCATAAAGACTGTCCAACTTCTCCAGTCCTCATTCCTGATGGATAGATCCAAGTACTGCAAGGGTTTGCCATTGCCTTTTGCAGGATGGCTGATCAAGAAACTCTCCTGTTCTTCGACGGGCACATTGGAGGCATTTACAGGCTACTCACCATCCTGTTTACCCAGTGCACTCTCCACGGCCAACAAGTGAGACTTGAACCCAGAGCTCTCTGGGACACTACCTATTGCTCCACAAGACCTACTGAGTAAATCTGAGCCCTTCACTGCTTGGAGGTCCTCAGTTATAACAACCAAACTGTTGTATTTAGCCAGATACAGTGCAGATTGACTGGCATAGTGCCTCGGTGGTTAGCACTGCTGCCTCACAGCGCCAGGGACCTGGGTTCGATTCTGGCCTCGGGCGACTGTCTGTGTGGAGTTTGCACCTTCTCCCTGTGTCTGTGTGGGTTTCCTCCGGGTGCTCTGGTTTCCTCCCACAGTCCAAAGGTTAGGTGGATTGTCCATGATAAATTGCCTGTAGCACCCAGGGATATGCAGGTTAGGTGCATTAGATGTGGGAAATGCAGTGTTATAGGGTTAGGGTAGGAGATGGGTCTAGGTGGGATGCTGTCTGGAGAGTCGATGTAGACTTGATGGGTCAAATGGCCTGCTTCCACACTGTAGGAGTTCTATGATTCTAAATGTAGGCAGAGCCAGAAAGTTAAACACTTAGAATGCTCTGTAGGAATAATTGCATGTTGTTTCTGACTCTGTGGTTACTGGTTCTTGTGTTTGTCCTGATGCTCACCTCTACTTGAATTATCCCAATATGGCTCTTCATTTCATTTTCCCCTCTGCCATCAGTTTTCTGTCGTGTTTATGCGAGTGATCACTCCTACGTCACCATCAAGAGCAGACTGTCAGCGTCCGTGCAGGAGATTGTGTTGTCTGTAGCTGAAAAACTTCAGCATTCTGAAGAAGAGTCCAAGGAACCAGTGCACAAGAACCTGCTGCTGGTCGCTTTAAGATCATCGGGGGGTAAGTTCTTGTTACAGATAATCATCTGGATGTATGCAGTTTGAGTTTTGCTTTAAAAAGGATGCAATCATCAAGGTTGTGTGCCTAACCTTCACGAGGACATTCAATCAGTGCAAGAAAAGAGTCAACACTGTCTTCTCATACAATATAGAATGTTGTTCCCTTTTACATTGGTATTCTTGTATACTGTCCTGATGAGGGCAAAATAAAAAGGCATAACAAAATGTTTCTTTTCTCAACAGTACCTTGTTGTGTGCATTTTGCCTAAATTCTCTCTCTTTGCATGTCCGGTTTATGTAATTAATACTCAGTAATGTTGGTGCAACTGACTGCCTGTAATTGGTGGGATGTCATGTATTCTGGGTTACCCCAGGCAGTGGTAATTTTTGCAGGCAGTATTATCTGTTCCATCCTGCCATTTCCTCTAGTTTTTGAACAGTGCTTGGAGCGCTTTCTGCAAACCAAAGTCTTTAAAGCTCTGCCTGTGAGTCAAACTGTCTCTCCTCACACCTGCAAGAGGATTCCGTTTTGCACAAAACTCTTTGACATGCAACATGTTGTTGACTGTTTAAGCATCCAGCACAAATGAGTCAACCTATCATCACCAGTCCCCTGACTGTGGGCCAAGGCTGGCAGTGCAGTTCACCACCAGGTTGAAAATGAGTAGAAGAGAAAGAAAGGTGTGCATTTATTTCGTGCTTTTTGCAATTTTAGGATGCCCCAAAGCACTTTGCAATCAATAGAGTGTATGCAATCACCATTGCAATTTAACAACTAATTACCGTTCAACAATATCCCTTAATCAGAGGCAGGTACTCGTAACATTTAAGGAACACCTGGATGAGCATTTAAACCACATTGTAGGCTATGGACCAAGTGCTGGTAAATGGGATTAGTGTAGTTGGGCATCAATACAGTGTGGAGCTGGAGAAACACAGCAGGTCAGGCAGCATCAGAAGAGCAAGAGAGTTGACGTTTCAGGTCGGGACCCTTCATCAAACCTGCTGTGTTCCTCCAGCTTCACACTGTATTGACGCTGACTCCAGCATTTGCAGTTCTTGCCATCTCTTAGTATAGTTTGATGTTTGTTGGTCGGCATAGATGTGGTGGGCCGAAGGGCCTGTTTCTCTGCTGGATGACTCTATCTCAGCGAAGCATATATTTTATATTATTCTTTCAGGGATCGGCAGGGTAGATGCAGGAAGGATGACTCCCCTGGCTAGTAACTCTAGAAACAGCAGACAAGGTATGATACTAAGGGACAAGCCATTTCACAGTGAGATGCAGATTCATCAGAAAGTGGTGAATCTTTGGAATTTTCTACCCAAAGGATTGTGGAGGATTAGACACTGAGTTCATTCAAGGTAGCGATTAATAAATTGTTAGATCTTCAAGATAGCGTAGGAAAGCAGCATTGAGGGAGAAGATCAATAATACCACACATGAACTGCCAAGATTGTGAGTTTGTTGATGATAGAAAGTAGGCGAGACTGAAGGATGTCAGATGACTTCAAGGTGTTTTAGACAAGTTTAGATGAGTGGGCAACACATGACAGATGTCTTTAATAGATGTGAAGATATATATGGGTATGAAAACAGAAAGGAAGATATTATTTAAATGCTGATAGATTGGAAAGTATGGATGTACCAAGGGATCTGGGTGTCACCAGTACTAGCAGGTGCGGCAAGCAATTAGAAACCCAAATGGTATATTGGCCATCATTGCAAGAGGATTTGAGGTTTTGAATTTGGCATGTCTTATTGAAGTTATACAGGGCTTTAGTAAGAGCACATCTGGAATATTGTATGCAGTTTTGATTCCCCGGACTAAGAAAGGATATGTTTGCCATAGATGGAGTGCAGCAGGCAGTCACTGGGCTGACGCCAGGGACAGTGGGACTGTTCTAGGAGGAGAGACTGGTTCAATTGGGCCCGTATTCAAGAGCGTTTAGAAGAATGAGGGAGGGTCTGATTGAAATGTATTAAATTCTAACAGGGCTGGATAGACTAGATACAGGGAGGATGCTTTCCATGGTTGTGGTGTGTAGAACCAGGGGACATAGTCTCAAGGTATGGGGTAGATCACTTAGGACTCAGATGAGGAAAAAATTCTTCACTCAGAGTCGTGAACCTGTGAAATTCTTTACCACAGATGGCTGTGCAGGCTAAGTCACTGAATATATTCAAGAAAGGGATAGACAAATGTTTTCATTTTAAAGACATCCAGAGGAGAAAGTAGGAATATGGAATTAAGATAGGAGATCAGTCATGATCACGTTGAATGGAGAGCAGGCTTGAAGGGCCGAATGGACTACTCCAGTTTTTATTTCCTATGTCATACATTGATCACCTGATACAGGAATCTTGGTTGTGCGATAATTATTGGCCAGGAGAATATACCTGCTATGGTTCAAATGTGTCAAGAGATCTTTTACTGCCAGAGAGGGTATCAATTTAACATTTCCTCTGAAGGACAGCACTTCCAGTGGTGCAACTCTCTTGGTATCAAGACTGGAGCATTAGCTTAGATTATGGGCTTAGGACTCTAGACAGCATCTTGCAACCCTTCTGACTCCGTGGTGAGAATGCAACTGGACAACACAGTTTCCACCCTTAGCAGGCAGGGGCATTAGATTATTACACATTTGGAGTTAGATATGTGTTGATTAGAGAAGTTACAACTTGAACTCCTTGCAGGAACAAATCTGGGTTTCAGTGCAAAGAGCAGAAGTAAGTTGCCCCCCAGTGTATTTGAAACTTAGGAATGAGCAAGAGACCACTGACTGTTGCAATAGAAGAAGGAATCACACAAAGGTCCTACCAATTGATTTCAAATGACTCAGTTCAAAGAACAAGTGGCTGGATTTTAGCGGCGTGCTGTCACTGAGACCGAGATGTTGGATTATTTTTGGCGGGAGGTGAAATTTCTCTAAAAGGGATATTGAATAATGGAGAAGATGAAAATCAAAGTTGGTAACTGTCCAATTAGAAACTTCATATGGGTCTGTGTTCATGCCTCAACTGAGGTGAAAGTAGCCAGCTAAGGCTGGTAAAAGTCCCCAGTGCACCTTCATCTTCTGATTCTTTGCTGCCGTAGTAACACTGAGCCTGTGCCTCCAATGTAATCCTGAAAAATTGTTCACTTTTGTTTGCAGAGAAAACAATGTTTCGGTTGGACGAAGATTCCGTGTTTACCACATTGGGCGTTAACACTCACCTGTTTGCTTGTACAAAGGAATCTGTAGAGTCTCTGGTAAGAGAGAAACCTCCCAGTACATTTCAGAACCCTCGAATAATGTCTTCAATCCCACCATGGTCTTACATTTTCCTGCCTCTGTAACCTCTTCAAGACCAGCAATCTTTGGAGATCTCTGCATCTCCATTTCTGGAATCTCATGCATTTCTAGTTTACAATTCTTAGTTTTATTTGTTCACAGGGTGTGGGTGTTGCTGGCTAAGTAAGCCAGCATTTATTGCCCATCCCTAATTGCCCAGAGGGCAGTTAAGAGTCAACCACATTTCTGCGGGTCTTGAATCACACGTAGGCCAGACCATGTCAGGGCGACAGTTTTGATCCCTAAAGGATATTAGTGAATGGGTTTTTTTTTGGACAATTGGCAGCGGATTCATGGTCATCATTAGACAAATTTTTAGTTGAATCCAAACTCCACCATCTGCCATGGTGGGACTCGAACCAGGGTCCCCAGATCATTACTGGGGTCTCTGGATTAATAATCTCGTGATAATATCTCTAGTCCATTGCCTCTCCAATGTTGCACCATCGATAGCCATGCCTTCCACTTTCTACATCTCAGCTGCCTTTTCCCTCAACCTCCTTTCTGAGGGCTGGGACATGGATTTCGATTGGACTGGTGGACTCGGACGAGGAAAGTACAGCAGTGGTTTGCCCTATCCCTCTGCAGGGTCGCTGACCAAGAGTCTCTCCTGTTCTTGCTGCTTACCATCGGGTGTATTGAAAAGATTGACAAGCTGACAACCGACTGTTTTCCCATGTTAAAAGTGCGCCCCCCCATGGCCACCACAGGCTAGTGCAGGTCTCAAACTGGGAATTTCTAGTCCTGAGGTAGGGACACTACCCATTGCACAAGACCTCCTGTCTGCACCCTAACCTCTGGAAGTTTCTCTGTCTCTCTCCCTAGCTCTCCTTTTAGACTCTCCGTAAAACCCATCCTTCCAACCAAGTTTTAGGTCCTCATATCTTCTTACATGGCTTGACAACAAATATTGTTTGGTAATGCTCCTGGAAATGCCTTGGAACGTTGTACAACATTAAGGGCACTATATTAATGTTGTTTGGGGTGGCGATAATTTAAACACAGGCAGGGGAGGTATTAGACAACTCTCCTCCTGCCACAGAAATTGGAGAGTAAGGAACACATTATTTAAAATCAGAGTGAAAAAGGAGCAGTGATGATAAACTTAAATATATTGATTGCATTACAGCAACAACTTGTATTTATGTAGAGCCTTTAGTTTAATGAACTATGCCAAGGTGCGTCAAAGGAACGTTACAAGATAAAACACGACATCCAGCCACAAAGATATATTAGGTCAGATGACCAACTGTTTGAGGCATGACATGAGGGAGAAAAACAAGATAAGAAACGAATTAAAGAACTCAGAACCTTGGCAACTGAAGGTGTGACTACCAGTGGGTGACGTAAGTTAATTGGGAATGCACAAAGGTTTAGGATTAGAGGAGTGTTGATAACTTGGAGGGCTGTGGAGCCAGGGAAGGATATAGAAACTGGGAGGTGTAAAGCCGTGGAGAGATTGACACAATAAAATGAGATTTTAAAGTCAATACATTGCTCAACTGGAAGCCAGCGCAGATCAGTAGAGGAACAGGATTTATAGCTCACTAAAACACAAGGGCAGCAAAGTTCCGGATGACCTGAGGTTTATAGAGGGTAGAATGTGAGAGACCAGCTATGTATGTGTTGGAATAATCAGGACTAGAGGTAATGAAAGCAGCAATGATAAGGGAACAGAGGGCAGTACCAGTTTGTGCTAGCAAATACCAGATAAAGTCAGCCATTTGTGCAAAACTGCCCCACCTATCCCAAATCTCTTCACAATGAATTGCGCTGAACCAAAGTCCAACCTGGGATGAGGCAGCTATCGTGTGGGGAAACATGTAAAAGGCTGGAGTTGAGAAGGATCAGAAGTGATCTACTTGAGAGATGTAAGATCCCGAGGGAGCCTGACAGAATGGATGCTGAAAGGATGTTTCCTTTTGCAGAGAGACCAAAGTAGGAAACACAATTTAAAAATAATTGTTACAGAGATAGTAGGAACTGCCGATGCTGGAGAATCCGAGATAACAAGGTGTAGAGCTGGATGAACACAGCAGGCCAAGCCGCA